GGGGGGGGGGGGGAATGTAGATACATTAAAAATTTTGGCTTGCTGGTGTGGCTCAGTTGATTGGAGTATTGTCCTGTACAGCAGAAGATCTCGGGTTCGATTCCCGGTCAGGGCACATACCCAGGTTGTGGGTTTGATATCCAGTCAGAGTGCATGCGGTGGGCAACCTATTGATGTTTCTCTCTCTGTTTCTCCCTTTCCCTTCCCCTCTCTCCAAAATAAAATTTTTTTAAAAAAGCATGTCCTCGGGTGAGGATTAAAAAAAAAAGTTAAAAAAATTCTTTTTGTACCACTTTCAGTCCATATATAGACACCAGATTAAGAAACCCTGCTAAACCTGTTATTGCCACAGTTTTATCTATTTTCAGACACATTAAGTTGACTATTATCCTATGACTTGAATCTCCATATAAAGGGGGAAGAAAAGAGCCTCTGACTTTTCAGTGTCCCTAACAGGTATCCCTTACCCGAAGTCCCCCGAGTGAAAGTGAAGGCAGTGATGGTCGCTTCCTTATATCCTATGATCGGACTCTAGTCATCAAAGAAGTATCCAGTGAGGACATTGCTGACATGCATAGCAACCTCTCCAACTACCACCAGGTCAGGCCTCTCTCCAGCCTTATTTTTTCCCTCCTCTCTCTATTCACAGCCCAACTGCCAGAGCACACAGGAAGACTTCCTATCCCTTTTCCTCCCTACAGCCTATTTTGCTCTCCAAGAAGTACTTGACACCATGATTTGTAAAAACTAGAAATTTCAAAAAAAGATCCTCTGTATAGCTATTTGTGTTTGTTTAAATAGAAGAATTTAGGCCCATGTTCCTTCTCATTTGGTACTTACTATCTAAAACCACTATGGATTGGTACCTAAAGGGTATGTGAATAACAAAATATAAACTATAGACTTAGAATTGGGTGAAGTGTTAGCACCAAATATACTATGAGAAATAAATGCGTTCTGGGGAGAAAACTAGGATAAGTGCACAATTGGGATAAACTGGAAGATAGAAGCCATGATCATCATATCCAGCCCTAAAGTGGATTAGGGAGCTTAACCTGGCACGTGGAGTTTGTGGAATATTTTGGTGGTAAAAACATTGCCTGGCCCTGGCCCAATGGCTCAGTCTGATGGAATGTCGTCCTGTGCACCGAAGGGTTGTGGCTTCGATCCCCAGTTAGGGCAAGTACGGGAGGTGGACCATCAATGTTTCTCTCTCTCTTTTCCCCTTTCTCTAAAAATCAAAACATATCCGTGGGTGAGAATTAAAATTTTTTAATTAAAAAAAGAAATAATAATAAAAGAAAGAGAAAACAACAACATTGCCTGAATGTCTTTCTACTGAAGAAAAAAATCTCACTGAAATCAATGAACAAGGAATAAATGAAGACTCTAAAAGGAATCTTTGGTTTATTCAACAAATATTGAATGTCTTTCATTACTAGGCCCTCTGTTAGGCTGTGGAGAAAGAGGTGAATGAAATGGTCATGGTCCTTGAGGGTCTCTTAATCTAATCACAGAGTCCAATAAGCTAGCATTGGCACACAGCAAGATGTGTACAATAGTAGAGGTAGGTACAGGATGCTCTGAGGGTACAGAGGAAGAGCATCCCAACTGGCTAGAGGAAGGAAATATACTTGGGAGGCTCAAAGAGACTTTTTTAGAGGGAGTATCATAGTAGGTTCTTCAAAGACTGGTAGGGACTAACCATTGGGCAATGTGGAAGAGAGCATTCTGAGCAAAGGAAAATAGCACTTATAAAACCACAGAAGCATAAGAGAGCTTAGTGTTAGGGAACTGCAAGAAATTCAATGTGGCTGGGATATGGTATTGTGGAAAAATAGTTCTGCAGAACCCATATTGTGAAGGGTTTTATGAGCAACACAGAATTTGGACTTTATCATTAAGGTGGTTTGCAGGGGAATAATATATATGTTATTTAGAAATATCCATGTGACAGCATTTTAGAGAATGGATTAGAGGGAGAACTATTGGAAGTGGAGATATCAGTTAGGCTATAATTGTCTAGGTGAGAAATGACAAGGGCCTGGAGGAACAATGGCAATGGAGATGGAAAGGAAGACTTAGGGTAGAGTTGTGGGAATTAAGACAAAAACACCTCTAAATTCCCAGTTAGAGATGACAGGAAGCCCATTCACCAATAGTTGGGAAGCAGAAAAAAGAAACAGGTTTTTGGAGGAAGACAGTTCTGATTTAGACACGTTGAGTTTGAGGTTTCTGCAGTTCATCCAGATAACAGTGTCCACTAAGTGGTTGGGAAATGGAGTTCAGGAAAGAGGATTAGAGTAGAAGTCTAGATTTTAGAGTTATAGGTGAAGAGGTGGTAATTAAAGCCGTGAGTATAGATAAGATTATTGAGGGGAAGTGTGGAGTGAAATGAAAAGAAGGTTGAGGACATAACCTTAAGGAGCAACTAGAGAAAAAATCCTTTAAAGAAGAATAAGCGTCAATGGACACTTTTAATTATTTATGCCCCACTTCATTCCATACAGGATTTGAGGACAGAGAGGAGGGGGATCAGAAGAGTAGTCTAATGGGAGCTGAGAGTGAAGAGAGTTTTAAGGAGAAGCTGATCAGTAGTATAAAGTGCCATTCAGTTGATACAAGACAATGACTAGGTACTCATAGGATTTGACAACTGAGGGATTTGGGGGAGGGAGGAGTAGAGAGATTTCAGAGGAAAAATGAGGATGTATATCTGATTTCACTGGTTTGAAGTGTGAGAGCTAGGAAGTGGATTGATTGCTGACTACTTTTCTGAGAGGTTTGCTGTGAAGAGTAGGTAGCAGTACTGAGAGAGAGAGAGTAGCATTGAAAGAGGAATAATTTTTTTTATTTTAGAGAGAGAGAGGAAGGGAGAGGGAGAGAAAGAGAGAGAAACATCGATGTGAGAGAAAAACATGTATCAGTTGCCTCCCATAAGTGCCCCGACTGAGGATTGAACCTGCAACCCCGGTATGTGCCCTGACGGGGAATTGAGCCCATAACTCTTTGATGCACAGGACAATGCTCCAACCGACTGAGCCACACTAGCCAGGGTGAATAATTTTTTAAGAATCCAAATTATAGGCCATCATGCAAACATTTTTACTAGGGGAATCTAGCCCACCAAGAAACATTGATCTGAATAAAATCAACTAGTTGATAAACAGATGTAATTTCTAATCCTGTGGCCATTTGCATATAAGGAGGGTCTAAAATAAGGATAATAACACCTACATTCCCCATCTGAAAGAATGATAAATATGAAATGAGAGAAGGTACTTTAAAATTGAGATATTATGCAAATGATTAATCAGAGGAGATGAGGAATCAGAAACCTCAGAGATAACCAGGGACGTCTTTAGAGAGCTCCCACCACCTGTGACCTTTGCAACCTTTCTACTTTAAGTTCTCTGCTCACTCTGGAATGATAGTGTTTGAATGCCCAACCCTAGGGTGTTTGTGTACCTGCTGCTCAGCCTCTCCCCATTCCGTCCTCCCTTCCACTCCAGTACATTGTGAAGTGCCATGGCAACACGCTGCTGCCCCAGTTCCTGGGGATGTACCGAGTTAGCGTGGACAATGAAGACAGCTACATGCTTGTGATGCGCAACATGTTTAGCCACCGTCTTCCTGTGCACAGGAAGTATGACCTCAAGGTACAGAGAGGATAGCTAGGGCAGAGGGAGGGGAGGCTCCTGATGGCCTGAGAGTGGAGAAGGGCCTGGGAGGGCACTGGGTGATTTATTTTAAAGGAAAGGGTTTGAGTACTCATCTTAGGAGCTGGGTCTTGATGGTCCTTTTAGCCACTTCTGCTGACTTGGTGTTTGGTTCTCTCCACAGGGCTCCCTAGTGTCCCGGGAAGCCAGCGATAAGGAAAAGGTGATAATAATTTTAGGGTGAGGGATGTGGGAGGGCAGATGAAAGGGATCTTCTTAGGATAAAGAGGCAGGGATTACCAGCTATTTAGTCTTATCTTAAGCCCCTGACAAGAAGAGAAATGTAAACTTGTTCCACTCCAGGGATTGTGTGGAAGGGGCAGTGAGAACAGCTGCTTTGTCATGGGTTACTCCAAGTGGAAGGTTTGGGGATGGGTGAGGATGTCAGGCTTGAAGAGGAAAATGCTTAACCTCCTCCTTCCATTCTGGGCTCTCCTGTTCAAGCAGCTATTTTTGCTTAATGAGAAGAAAGAAAAGTCACTCCTTAATGAAAACCATAAGGAGAAGAAGTGGGATGTGATTTGGGGTACAGCTGCAGTGACAGTCTGGGGAAAACACTGGAGATGAGAACAGACTCTGGGTCAGCATCCCAATGTGGAGTCAAATGAGAGAAGGGCTGCAAGATCTCTCTCCCCTAGAGACCACTGAGTTAGAGACAGAGCCCTAGATAGAGCAGGGTTCTCTGAGACCTTTGGAGAAGGGATATATTCCCAAGATGTCCCTTTACCTATTCTCAGGTTAAGGAATTGCCAACCCTTAAGGATATGGACTTTCTCAACAAGAACCAGAAAGTTTATATTGGTGAAGAGGAGAAGAAAATCTTTCTAGAGAAGCTAAAGAGAGATGTGGAGGTGATGGTTGGGGTGCTCTGGGAAATGGCTTTTTTTCCTTTTTTGCTCCCTTCAGGGTAGTTGTCTCTCCATTCAGAATATGAGGGAACTCCTCCCCTTCCCTTTATTCTTTGGGTTCTCTGCATGTTAGAGAGTTGGGTATGAGGCATGAAAACCCCCAAGAGGTGACCCATGGAGGGAGGGGGTGGCTGGAATGAGCTAAAAGCATGATCTGAGACACCAGGACATTTAGGTACTAAAGGGCAATGGTACTACCAACCCTCCATTTTTACACTTCCTTTCCCCAGGAGGGCCCCAGAAATTCAGGGGTGGTGGGAGGAATAAGGATGGTACCTAGGAGTGGGGAGGAAGATCAGGGGTGTCTGATTTGTCATTGGGGTCTCAGTTCCTAGTGCAGCTGAAGATCATGGACTACAGCCTTCTGCTGGGCATACATGACATAGTTCGAGGCTCTGAACCAGAGGAGGAGGGGCCTGTGCGGGAGGAGGAGTCAGAGGGGGATGGGGACTGTGGCCTGACTGGACCTCCTGCTCTGGTGGGCTCCTATGGCACCTCCCCTGAGGGTATTGGTGGCTACATCCATTCTCATCGGCCCCTGGGCCCCGGAGAGTTTGAAGCCTTCATTGATGTCTACGCCATCCGGAGTGCTGAGGGTAAGAGATCCTGGAAATTTTAAGGGTAGGGAGGGTTGTCCTTGTGGAACAGAGACCAGGGTGCTGGGTGGAGAGGCTGGTTACCTTTTCAAAACAGATTTGACTGGTTCCTGTGTAGAGGGAATTGGGACTATACTTGCTCTTCATTGCTGGTTACTCTCTCCAGGGGCCCCCCAGAAGGAGGTGTATTTCATGGGCCTCATTGACATCTTGACGCAATATGATGCCAAGAAGAAAGCAGCTCATGCAGCCAAAACTGTCAAGCATGGGGTGAGGGTTCCCCAATGCCTTTCCTTTCTTGTCTTGACTATTCTTTGGGAAGAGAGAGCCTCTTACGCCAGAGCAGTGGAGTGGCAAAAGGGTGAAGTGTTGGGTATGGAAACGGTGAGGAATGGAATGGAAGGTGGGGAAGGGGGAAGAGTGGCGGGATGGCCTGACACCTTGTTCCATACCTCTTCTCACAGGCTGGGGCAGAGATCTCTACTGTTCACCCTGAGCAGTATGCTAAGCGATTCCTGGATTTTATTACCAACATCTTTGCCTAAGAGACTTCGTGGTGGCTGCTACTTTATGTTCAAGGTGGTGGAGTTCTGAGAGGATTGGGGGAATTGTGGATATTCTGGTCACTACTTCTTCTCTTCCTCTTTGCTAAATTCAGGCTATAGGCTCCTTCCAGCCAATTAACTCCATCGTATTGAGTAGGCTCTTCTTGGCCTTCAGAAGTACATCATCTTTTCTCCCCTTTGTCCAGTTTTCTTCCCTCTCCCTTCCAACATGTCTGCTTGCTTCATTAGAGTGTTACTGCTGATTCTCTCCCAAGTGCCTTGATTTTTGTAAAATGTTCTGTTGTTTCTATAACATAGAAGGAACTGGGGGAAGGGGGTTGTTTGCCATCTTCAGGACCTGACTGGATAGATGGACCTAGCTCAAGAAACTACTCTGGGTGCACTTTGCTCTGTGGGATGAACAAAGAGTGTCCGAATTTTGCTGATAACTTTATAGAACTCACTGTGGCCTACCTCCTTCTGGGTATGCCCTGGGATGGAAGACTTTCAAGATACTACATATGTGGGTGCAGGCATACATACATGATGGGATATAGCCAATCTTACACACAAAGGTGGGGTGGAGAGTGGTCAGCAGGCTGGCACCTCATGGAGGTAGGAACTAAGAGGACTCTTATGATTATGCAGGGAACTGCAGAAAGTCTCTGTCAAGGATTGACTACTGTCTCCAGTCTCTTCCCTCACCCCACTGTCACTCTCACCTCTGTACTTTTGGGCACAGGAGCCCAGAGATGGATGACCAAAGTGTTCAAGCCAGGGTGAAGGTGTTTGTTGCTGCTCCTCACCAGAACCTCACACCCCTTCTGGCACTGGAACCCTTCAGTGGGGGTGTGGCCAGTTCTGTAGGCTGAGATAATAGTCCAGGGGTCTAAGGTTCATTCCCCATGTTTAATTTCCTTTCTTCATGTCTAGCCATCCCTGAGGTTTTATTCCCAGGAGAAGGGAATATCTCTACCTGGGTCAGCCCTGGTCATTTCAAGAGAATGGAGATCTCAAGCATAGGAACCTCTTCTACTCACTGGAGGTGTGTGCCTAGCATACTTCCTTCCCCCACTCCTCAAACCCTTTTTCCAGTTGGATTTGATATTCTGTTCTCCTCTGTCCCGTCTTATTGCTACTGTGTCTCCCAGGGGACAGATGGCCTTTGTCATCTTCACTCCCCACCCCCAGAGAGGAGTCAGAGCCATAACTCAATCACCCAGCCCCCTCCAGAGATAGCTGAGTTGATGCATGATATTCTCAAAGCGTAGAGGACCCTGATGAGACCAGATAGTGTCCTCTCCACCCTCCAATGCCTTTGGGGCAAAGGCAACCATTCTTCTTGCTACCCTCCATACTCCTTGAGGCTTCTACATTTAAAAGGCATATATAAAGATGGATACCAGCAGCTCGCCTTTGGGAATGCAAAGATTCTTTGTTCTGTACCTGGCTAGACTCATCTGTCTCACAAGAAGTCATGAGGTCATAAAGAAGAATTTCTGCCCTGGCCAATGTGGCTCAATTGGTTGGGGCGTTGTCCTGTACACCAAAAGGTCATGGGTTCGATTCCCAGTCAGGGCACTTACCCAGGTTGCAGGTTCAATCCCTGGTTGGGATGAGTATGGGAGGCAACCCATCGATGTTTCTTTCTCCGTCTCTCTCAAATAAAATATAAATAAGTTTTTAAAAATTCCTTTTTTCCCTCCATCTTTGGCTCCAAAGAAAGTAACAAGAGGAGTTCCAATTAAGGATTGGAGTCCTTCTGATACCTTCCTGTCCAGAGCCTGATGGATCTTTTTCATTCCAACCTTCTACCTTTCCCCTGTTGAATGCAATAAGACTCCATGACACCAGCAATTGTTGTTCTTTAGAAATGGGTTTTCTGACCATGTGGCTAATGTATCATGAGCAGTATGGTCTTCATTTGTTGCTTCTGATTTTCATCTTTCTTGTTTTATTAACTAATACAAAAGATCTTGTGTATTTACTCCCATTGCTGTCACTATATAGAAATTAAATTATTGAATCCAAATCCTTTCACAGAAATGGCTTTTTTTTCCTTTTCTGAAGAAGCCTGTACTTAGGGATGCAGGGACTAGATAAAGAATTCTGGCCCAGCCAGGCGTGGCTCAGTGGTTGAGCGTTAACCTAGGATCCAGGTGATCAGAGTTCGATTCCCGGTCAGGGCACATGTCTGGGTTGTGGGCTCAATCAATGACTCTGTCATCATTGATGTTTCTATCTCTCTCTCTCCCTCTCCTTTCCTCTCTCTGAAATCAATAAAGATATATTAAAAAAAAAAAAAATTCTGATTTTTAAGGTGTTGGGCCCCTAACTAGGGATGTGGGTTTCTACATACATAGCTGTGAACTTAAAAGGTGTGAGGCCACCTGGGGTGGTTCAGTGATTGAGTGCTGAGCTATGAACCAGGAGGTCATGGTTCAATTCTTGGTCAGGGCATATGCCTGGGTTTCGGGCTTGGTCCCCAGTTGGGGGTGTGTGCAGGAGGCAGTGGATCAATGACTCATTGATGTTTCTATCTCCCTCTCCCTTCCTCTCTCTGAAATCAGGTTTTTTTTTAAAAAAAAAGGTGCTGAGGATTGTGGCCCAGGCCAGTAGCTCAGTTGGTTAGAGCATCATCCCAATATACCAAGTTGGCAGGTTTGATCCCAGTCAGGGCACATACAAGAGTCAATCAATGAAAGCATAAATAAGTGGAACAACAGATCAATGTTTCTCTTCCCCTCTCTCTAAAAATAAAACTTTTTAAAAAGTTGTGAGGATTGTGCATGGAAATGGAAACTTATTCTCCAATTTTGTGGAAGTTAAGCTATGGGGGGCTAGGGAGAACTGAGATGATGTGACCCTCGTCCCCCAGGGTTCTGGGTTTGGTCACACACACCCCCATCCCTGTCAAGGTGTGGCTCTCAGCCCACTAGCTAAAAGAAGGAATTCAGTTTTCCCCTAGGCTTTCTGGGAAGGATGTCCTCTGCCTGGAGGGCAGAAATAGTACAGCAAGGTCCTGGGAAAGTAAAGAAGAAAGTGACCAACCCTCTAGTCCAGAAGGGGAGTGAAGAAAGGGGGTGGATGCACAGAGGTTGTAGCCAGTCTGGGAGATCGGGTACCTCTTGGCTGAGGAGGTCTTTGGCTGGTGGAAAAACCTGGCTTGATGTGGCCCCAGGGAAGTGAGTTGGACTGAGGGCGGAGATTGCTCTGATGTGGGAAGCAAACAGCAGAGCTTTTTTTTTTCTTTTTTTTTTTTTTTTTTTTTTTTTTTTTTTACTTTGAGAGTTTTTAACTATTTGAACCATAGACTTGACACCACCCCCACCCCAATGAGTTTTACAAAAAGTATTCGCTTCCCATTCTGCACCAGCCTCAGTATCTCTGTGGAAAGAAAACAATCACCAATACCCATCTGGGAGCCGGTTATGTT